GTGTGTGCGTGTGCGTGCCTGGATCCATACACTGGCTGTAGACTCTGCCAAACTCAGAGGAGGGAGTTTCCTTCTGGGACATGTGTCACTAGGCAACCACTTAGTCATTAGTAAACGAGTGTCAAGGTTTGAAGTCTGAGAGGAAAGAGGTTGTTGGGTTTTGTTATGAAATGCTTCTAAAAAGCCAAGTGAAAGACCCAAAGAGACCAAATCAAACCCGATTTATGAAGCTCCAAATATCATAGTTAATCCTATAGAATCTGCTGTGAAATGATGAAATCACAGCAGTGAGAGTAAGATTAGACTGCAGTACAGACGGCTGGGAGACATCAGTCACACTTTAGACACTGTGGATCGGCATCATATGAGGGGAATTCAGACACAACCAGCTGCCAAAATACTGAAGTACCATCACTGCACACTGCTGAACCAATTCATTATCATAAAACATATACAGTGAGGTTCAAAATTCTGAGTGCACTTGTAAAAATGTGTCTCTAATTTAATATAGATATTTCCTTTACAAATTAGACGTTCATAATTTATTAGTATGGGGTTAAATGTCACATTTTAATTCCAGTTAATATTTCTCAGGGTAGTCCATTTTTTTTGTATAGGCACAAACCTCAAAGACTTGGATTTAGTGTATGTTTGTGTGTGTGTGAGTCTGTCAAAACTTGTGTGTATACGTGTGTGTGTGTGTGCGTGTGCGTGCCTGGATCCATACACTGGCTGTAGACTCTGCCAAACTCAGAGGAGGGAGTTTCCTTCTGGGACAAGTGTCACTAGGCAACCACTTAGTCATTAGTAAACGAGTGTCAAGGTTTGAAGTCTGAGAGGAAAGAGGTTGTTGGGTTTTGTTATGAAATGCTTCTAAAAAGCCAAGTGAAAGACCCAAAGAGACCAAATCAAACCCGATTTATGAAGCTCCAAATATCATAGTTAATCCTATAGAATCTGCTGTGAAATGATGAAATCACAGCAGTGAGAGTAAGATTAGACTGCAGTACAGACGGCTGGGAGACATCAGTCACACTTTAGACACTGTGGATCGGCATCATATGAGGGGAATTCAGACACAACCAGCTGCCAAAATACTGAAGTACCATCACTGCACACTGCTGAACCAATTCATTATCATAAAACATATACAGTGAGGTTCAAAATTCTGAGTGCACTTGTAAAAATGTGTCTCTAATTTAATATAGATATTTCCTTTACAAATTAGACGTTCATAATTTATTAGTATGGGGTTAAATGTCACATTTTAATTCCAGTTAATATTTCTCAGGGTAGTCCATTTTTTTTGTATAGGCACAAACCTCAAAGACTTGGATTTAAAAGTTATTGAAGTTGTATCCACACAGTAAATACAGCTGGATAAAACAAAAACTGTGTCTGTCTTCATTTCGGGCTGCAAAGTGTGATTATTTTAAAGGGGAGGGGGGTGATTTATAAGTAAAACAATAATGAAATGGCCAAAAAATACATTTATTTAAAAAAAAAATTATTTAAAACACATGTGAAGACGTGGCCCCCCCAAAAATATGAGAAATTGCACAATCTGACATGAAACCTTTACCGTGTGCTTAAAAAATCTCATTTCATTACATAAATGACCCAAAAATATTTAATGTCAACAGGTTTTGGAATATTTTCTAATATATATTATAATGTATATAACACATATATTTTTAAATATATTAGATCTCAATATGTGAAATCGCAATCATTAATGCCATTCCTTTCTCAGATAAATTTGGGGCTTTGATTAGACTACATAATAAATATTTTAACATTATATATTCAGGTAACTTTATGTATTATTATATTTTATAATACAGTTATTTTTCATTAATTCAACCATCATGATTTCTCAGATGAATCTGGGCTGTGATTAGACTAAATAACACATGTTTTATCATTATATATTCAGATACCTTTTTATAAAATTTAAAGAAAAAAACTTTCAAACTAAAACATCCACAAAAGTGCTTGTTTTTTTTTTTTCATTTGCCATCCACTCATAACTGACAGAGGACATTTGAAATTTGAAAAAAATATACTTTATTTCACCATGGTGTTTACACAATTTGTGTATAAAATGTATAAATTCTCTTTAACCAAAAAGAAAACGAAAAAGAAAAAAATGTATTTTATGCACTGCATTTTAAATGTTCATATCTCTATACAAAGCACACAGAGAAAAAGTACAAAAGCTCAGAATGAACTCTTGTTTGAATGGCGAGTCTTCCGAATATCTCCGTCGCGAGGAGTCTTGCTCACCTCTCGCGCTCCCTGAGTTGCGGTTTCATCTCACGCGCTGCTGCTGCTGCTGCTACCGGCGCGTCAAGCGCAATGAAGTGATTCCCCGCATACGGATACAGTCAGTCCCGTCCTTTATCTGCGAGAGCACACACAAACAAAACAAAAGGTTATTAATTTCATACAAATATATGATCTAGGCTATGATCTGTATTTTTATTTGTTTATTTATTTTTATATTTTATAATACAGTTATTTTTCATTAATTCAACCATCATGATTTCTCAGATGAATCTGGGCTGTGATTAGACTAAATAACACATGTTTTATCATTATATATTCAGATACCTTTTTATATTATTTTTTTTATAATATATTATATTTCATATATAACATATTTTAATTAAATTAAATCTCAGTCATTAATTCAGTCATCATAATTTCTCAGATAAATCTGGGACTGACCCCTAGCAGCCATAATTTTCCGAGCAGATCCTAAATCTATTCTTGGTTGTTGAAGAGACCATTACAAAAAACACAATCATGGACTGTTTCATATGAGAAACATACATTCTGCATAATGTCTCTGTCTCCGGTCTGATCGCTGCATGGGATGGAACAACCACTTTAAAACCAAAGAGGAGAGATCAGACACAACATATTTGCTGTCTCCTAAGGTTTTCCTTTCTCAACCAGTTCACCCAGGGTTCGTTTTTATTTTTTTATTAACTACATAAAGTTCACAGAATATATTGGGATAATGACAATTTTACTGATCCATTTTTGACTCCAATTTTAAAACACCCACTCAGCTTGTATGTTCAGTAACCTATGACCTTTATCCAAGCATCCGAGAGCTTGGATGCTTAATCTTTACCCAGACCTTTGACCCTGCTTTCTCTTTGTCAAACCCCCCTCTTACACTTTCACTTGCTCTATATTACCCCACCCCACCTTCCAAGTTGACCCTGGTGGTGATTTATGCAGCTCGCAGATGCACAGCTGCGGCAGGTCCCCATGCTGACCGAAGAGTAGTATTTACCGTAACTAATACATCCCAGATCTCAAAAACACATGGAGACAGAATGAGAGAGATTTGTATAAAAGAATGAAAAAATCAATGGAAAACATTTAGATTCTGTTCTTCAAAGAAATTACAAACCAACTTAACAATGACAAAAGGACCACATAGAGAAATAGAGGAGTTAAATTATGTAAAGAGATCATCAGTAAGTTTTATCTGAATATGAATTGATGTTTACTTTCATTTGACTGATTGATTTGAAGCTCTGCCTAAATCCCCTGAGCTCTGAACTGTTCTTCCAGCTATTGGTTGTATTTTCCTGGCCGTGTTTGGATTTTTAGTCCTCAAGGAAAGGGATACAAACCCAGAAGTCACTATAAATGCTCTATAAGAGCAATTGGGCAGCTTCAAAAATAGGACAACGTTTAAAATTAGTTTTTAAATAAAGTAATATAAAATTAAATTATGAAAATTTGCTAAATTCTTTATTTCTTTCACATTACAGAAGCTGAATCATCCACAGCTAAGCTATTATATATATATATAT